CCCTAAAAAGCCCCTTTGAATACCTAGCCTTGATTGCCTTGTTTATTTTAATTTTGATGAGATACACTGAAATTTTTAATGAATGTTAAGAGCTAGTTGGCTGGAAGTTAGATCTAAGTGTGTAGATTTTTTGCATGACGGATCAACGGACTAGTTATGCTTGTATTTTGGTGAGAATTTCTTAGGCTACACCCAATAGATGCATTATGATTGATTATAGTGTAGGAGTATGGTTTCTGAGAATTTTGAGTTCCCTATGATTTCTGTTAAAGGCTTTTTCTAGGCTTAGATCTTGCTTTGTTTGAGGACAAACAAATGTTTAAGTCTGGGGGAGTTGATAACACCGTATTTTCACCATTATTATGGATCGACTTTAAATGTTTTTCAAATGTTTTTTTTATTTCTTTTAAGTGTTCTAAGTATGTTTTTCTAGTATTTGTAGTTCCAAGACTCTTTTCCGGTAATTAAGGCAAAAGATGCGCATTTTGGAGCAAAATATCATTTTGGATGAATTCAGGCCATCAGAAGTTTTACATCCGATGAATACCTTCTCACCGTCAGATCCTCCCCAAAATTGGACATAATATGAAGGAGACAACTAACTTTCAAATGCAATTGGTTTGGAGACAATTCAGAAGAATCCCTTTTGGGAGCCACTAAATTTAGTTTTCTAGGGTTTTTATGTTCTTATGTTCTTAGTTTAGGGAGATAGAGATTTCTCTTGAACCCTTTTTATGTTCTACCTTAAATTAATTCGGTTTTTACTTCTATGCATATTTCAATTTCGTTTTCATCTTCTTCATATTAGATTAGTAACATTAAAGGATTTGAAGAGAAGTTATATATCTCCGAGGCAAGCTCTCGAAATCGAGATGCTTCTTCTTCATCTCCTTGTCTCTTTTTCTCTACTTCTTTCTTCTTATTACTTTATGCACGTCTTCTCTTATTACTCTATGCACGTTTTTGAATAATGAGGTATGAGTTTAAAGGCTCGATCGAAGGGAATCGACTATGTTTGGTAGGGATCTTTGCGAGATAAACCAAAGCCGAATTCTAGAAATCTTTCTTCTAAACTTATACTTAAAGCATGGATCTAGCGTCACGAACTAGAGAGTAATCTTGGTCTTGGGTGTTGCGAAAGTTTCATTCGGGGCTAGATCTAGTTTGAGAAGAGCAGATCGACCATAGGAGTGGAAACATACCTATGAGAGTGCTATGAATATTTATGAGTATTAAGCATACTGCATCTTTTCTCTTCCAGGGCCAGAGTGGAAACCTACTGGTCACGGTTGAGAAAAATAGTTGGTTATGATCACGACAGTGACGTATTCATACATTCATGACTCGAGTTCTAAGAATTTACTAGGATCGATATTAAAAGCATTGTTCATATTTTAGACTTATCATGATTTATTCACTTCTAGTTTTAAAACCCTTTTTAAAACCCTTTTTAAAAACCCTTTCTAAAACCCTTTTCAATCCCTTTTCAAATCCCTTTTTAAAATACATTTTAGAAATCGTGACAACCTATGAAAAACCCCGTTTTTTGTCTTAGACTTCGTTTACTAATTCTGGTTCTAAGGTTCTACAGGTAAAGCGTGGAATCTCTGTGAATCGATACCCTAAATACTATAACGCACTGCTGTGCACTTGACGATATCTAGGGTTATAAATTTAAAACATGAAGCCGCAAAGTATCAACCCTAGCAGCATCAATAACCGAATTTGTTTTATATATGAGGTGGTATTACTAGGAATACGGTATAACCTCAAAAAGTACAACTATCTGGATGATGAGTATAACTGGAAATACAGGCACAACTACGTTTGAAATAATGTAGCGACACATGAGTTACGACATATGTTTTTTATCTAAACACGTATCCATGTCTTATCAGTTGGAACAATTAGACCCCACCACAATTATTTATTATTTATCAGGTTTATCCATGAATCTCAAATTTGTACCCCCCCCCCAAAAAATCAGACATTTACAAATTTGAGTTTCCCTCCAAAAACATCAAAATTCAACAAATATCTAGGTTATGCCCAAAACCACAAAAATCTTATTTTTTGCAAGTTAAATTTTTTTTTCGAGAATGCCAAGTCTCAGGTTGTTGTCATCGTCGGAGCTTTCAGGATTGAGCCCTCCAACCGAAAAGTACAAAAACTTTGGAATCCCGCGAGTCTGTTATTGTAGGGGTTCATCTATCATCAAAACTTCTTTCCCCGTTTTGGATCCGGGAAGAAGATTCTACGCTTGCAATAAGGAATGCGTAAGCGAAGTTCAGCTGTTGTTTTCTTTTCATTTCGTTACAATTACTTTAAAATATTTATACGGTATCGTGTCTAGTAGAATCTCGGATGTCATCTCTTCAAGTGGTGTGATGAGGCGATGATAGAAGAGCTTCGAGATGTTCGGTGTGATGTGATCGAGATTGTCGACCGGAGTGGGTGGTGAACAAAAATCGACCGGATTCACTCGACGAAGATTTCCCATCTACAGGAATCGGTAAACAAGCTGAATGAGGAAATTGTTGAGGCTTCTAAGTCTCTGAACTCCTTTGTGAGGTGGTTTGGGACTCGATTTTGAAGGAAATAGATAGGAAATTAGATCAGATCCGACGAGATAGGTTATTTAAGGAAGTCAAGGTGATGGTTGTTCTCTCTGTTTTTGATGTGGCTATGATTTCTTTAATTATCTACCTGTTCAAGTAGTTAAGATCAGTGGTTGTACTCAAAAACTTACTTAACGTTTCCATTATTATCAAGATGTGCTTAACAAGTTTCTATGTGCATAGTAGTACTCCCCCAAATAATATCAACTGGTTTAGGCAGAAAAACATGTGGTTACACCAAATAGTACGGAGTTATACCCGTTTTGAATTTTCTGAATAACATGTGGTTATACCAAATAATACTGAAGTTATTACCATTTTTCAATTTTTCGATCAACATGTGGTTACACCAAATAATACTGAGTGATACCAGTTTTCAATTTTCCGATTAACATGTGGTTACACCAAATAATACTGAGTTATACCAATTTTTAATTTTCTGATTAACATTTGGTTACACCAAATAATACTGAGTTATACCAGTTTTCAATTTTCCGATTAACATGTGGTTATACCAAATAATAGTGAGTTATCTCGCAATATTAGGGTTTCCTTTTTTATCGGCTGAGATAATATATAGGAGAGAATATAACTAATATTTTTTTAATTTATAAATATTTCACAATAAAAGCAGAAATTAAAAAAAAACACTACAAGCATAGATTTTAAATGGAAAAATGATAGCTAGCCACACAAACAGTACGTCATCACATGACCACACATGCAGACTATATTAATGCATCACTAACTACACGAACTATATGATCTACCATAGCAACATATATGAATTAACAAAAATTATGTGATTAACATCATAGGCATCTCATGAGTTAATGAAACAATGTACCGGATGAATGATTCCAGCACAATATATATTTATGTATTAAAAACTACACTACTATATAATTAATGTATTCAGAACTATACGATGTGTAATTAATGTATCTAAAACTACACGATGTATAATTAATGTATCCAGAACTACACAATAATATTATATGTAGTTGAATGCAACACCAGAAGTACACGATGTCTTGTCCATGACTAATTGTTTTGTAATAATTTTGTGACGATTTTCATACAAAACTTTGTTGAAATTATATTATTAGAAAAAAAAACACACATATTAAGAAAAAATTTTAAATTTGACTATTAAAAGCATCATTTTTTGTGATTAGCAATTTTCTGAGTTAAAATACATGAATATTTGACCCCCAAATTATAAAAATAAAATAAAAATTATTAGTATTTTTTTGTCTGGCCTCATAATTCTAAGGGCCGACCCTTTTAGTGATTTTATGTTTGGTGATAAAATATTACGACATAGTTGTTACCATTTTATATATACAAAGATTAAAATACCATGTGAATTAAAAAAAAATAATAAGAGAATGAATTTAATTATGGAAACATTTAAAGTCAATTAATATTTTTTCTTCTTCTATTATGTTGAAAGTTTTTTTGTTCTTTCTTTGTCATAAGACGATATAGATGGTTTCCAGAGATTTTGCATTAGCTGCTTGAAATTATCTGTGATTTCACTTATTATTTGTGTTTGTTTGTTGTGTTACTAATTGCTTCTATGCATTTTGTCTATAAAGCTTTTGTCTTGTCTGTTAAATACCAATGCTGAGTTTAAACTGTTCACAAGTCTATAAAGTAGTAAGACTTCTTCACTTCATTACATTTGAATTGGTGATTGTTGTAAGATCAGATCTTATTATTCGTAGATGGGTTCTTAGTTACTTTTAATGTATAGCATTGTCAAACGAGTATTAACTAATTTTTAGTTTTGTTTTTGTGGTTTATATGTCATGATTACTGTTTATGTATAGCATTATTTGGTATTGCATTCAGCTATATAAAATATTTTCGTGTAGTTCTGGATACATTAATTATATATTGTATAGTTCTGGATACATTAATTATACATTGTGTACTTCTGGGTATATTAATTATATAGGTGTGTAGTTTTTGATACATAAATTTATATTGGGTCAGAATCATTCCTCCGGTACACTGTTTTGTTAACTCCTGAGATGTCTATGATGTTTATCACATAATTTTTGTTAATCAATACATATCGCTATGGTAGATCATATAGTTCGTGTAGTTAGCGATGCATTAATATAGTCTGCATGTGTGGCTATGTGATGAAGTGTAGTTCATGTAGCTAACTATCATTTTTCCATTTTAAAAAACTAAAAACATAAAAACATAAAATTCATTATTATTGGTGAAAACACAATGAATTAATTCATGGTATGTGCCTTGGTCATCCAGCGGGCCTCTTTCTCGTACCTCTCCGGCTACAAGACGCACACGTGGGTGACGTCTTCGAGGAAGACGTCTCTGTCCTCCATCTTAGGGTGGAGTAGCATGTCATGGAGCACCAGGAGGAGTTCCTTCGCGGTCGTCTCGGTCTTCCACGAAGTGGGGTTTGTCGATGTTGGGGTGCAGAAACGGCGTCTTCCACACCACCCTTGGTGACCTGAAGGGGTACTCCGGTGGGAATCGTATAGAGAAGAAGAAGAGGCCCCCTTCATATGGACTCCCAGGGGGACCCATCATCGTCGCCTGCCAATCGTAAATGCCTTTTGCCACCGGTCCGACACTGAACCCACTTGCCAGTAACCTCAACAACTCCCTCAGATGCACCATGATCCACGTTATAGCGCCCATTTTGAAGTGAGAAAAAAAGCAAAGATATCACTAAATAGAGAGAAGATGATTTAGAAGTGAGATATGAGGGAGAGAGAGTGTGAGTTATATTTATAGAAAGAGAAGGAAAACCATTGAGTGCGACTCATATAATAAATGCCCTTCAACCGTTCATCCTTAGGGGAATCGTGCAGAGAAGTTAAAAGTCACGTCTTTCCCCTAATAAAATCCTAATATTTAATTATTTAGTTAATATAGCAGTAAAAAAAAGGTAGTGTTGGTAGTTGTACCAGTCTTACGACAGTTAATGAGAGCATTAACTGTCGTAACACTGGTACATCTATCAACACTACCTTATCCTCTTATTGATTTGAGTATGTGATCGTTCCCTCTTTCATCCATGCAACAATGCAACATGTCGTAATTATCTTTTTGACAGATAAATTTTATATTTATTTAATTACTTTTACAGAGATATATTACGTCTAACCTAACTTATGATGTGACTGTTCCCTATTTCCTCATTTCATCCATGCAATGCATCTATATAACTAATTACACAATTTTTTTATAATTTTACCACTAAATAACTTGATCTCACGTGAGTAAATGTTGAGTAGACAAATATCTAAATAACCCCGAGAGTACCAGTGATACGATCCTAGGAGATCAACTCTGAAGAACAAGGCAATAGAGGCAGCGATATATTGGTCAGAGCGTATCGATGAGGCGATATGGTGGTGGTGGTGACACGATGATGGCTCAATGAAGATGATGGAGATTCGGCGGATCGAGTCGTGGATGGTGATGGTGCGGCGGATCGATGAAGTGAGATGATGGTTTGGTTTCTCGAGTCGATGGTATGGTGGAATAGATCGATTGATGGAATGGTGGTGGTAGTATGATGATCGAATCGATGAAATGGAGGGATAGAAGAATCTTTTGTAAACATATTAGTTTTTAAGAGATTCGAATTTCAGAGTTTTTAGTTCTCAGAAATCAAAGAGAGAAGAACACGTTAAAAAGTTTGATCAAAATTCTTCATTGAATAACACTTAGGCGATTTTCTCTAATTTATAGACTAAGAGAGAAAATCGCAGCCCTAATACAAAACTACATGAAGTTTGAAATAAAAACAACACGAAGTTTGATTTAAAAATAAAACAGCGAGGCGTCCATTCTAAATCCTAAGTGGTGCGCCTAAAACAACTAGTGCACAAGTCATTGTGACTTTGCACGTTATTACCCATTAGTAACAACTTCTAAGTAACTCGACGTAGCAATGATTTCTGCCTCGTTAAAAACCTTGGAGAAGAACCTCCTTGCCTTCCAAAATCCTCACCAAGGAAAAGAGTACAGAATCATCACCTAAGTTACCTAGTCATTGTTACTGGGTTCTTCATTCTTCAAGATAGAGATGTTGAAGATGTGAGCTCCAGCCTCCAGTTGATCGATGTCCTCTGCGGCCATGAGTGTGTGAGCCTCCTTAGCCATCTCTCTAGCTCTGGAACGAGTGATCCTGCCAGCTACCTCTGGTTCCTCCTCCTCTGAGCTGGTCACGATCATATCATCCTCTCCCTCTTGAAAAAGATTTGTCCTCAAATCTGAATCTGCAACATAAGGAAGCAAGTCAGAAACATTGAAAGCATCAGAAACATCATACTTACCTTGAAAATCAATCTGATAGGCGTTGTTGTTTATTCTTTTGATGACTGCGAATGGTCCATCAACTCTGGGCATTAGCTTGTTCTTTCGCTCAGCTGGAAATCACTCCTTCCTCAGATGGATCCACACCAGATCTCCTTCTTCGAAAATCAGCTCATTTCGTCCTTTGTTGGCATGCTTCTCATACTGCTTTGTCTTCTTCTCGATGTTCTCCTTAGCCTTAGCATGTATTCTTCGGACCTGTTCAGCTTTCTCCTTGCCATTCAAACTGCATTTTCCACTTAAAGGCAAAGGGATCAATTCTAGAGGTGATTGTGGATTAAACCCATATACAATTTCAAAAGGAGAAAAGAGAGTAGCGGAATGCTTAGCGTGATTATAGGCAAACTCAACATGAGGCAGACACTCTTCCCATGTCTTGAGGTTACTCTTCACCAAAGTCCTTAGAAGTGTGGACAACGTTTTATTCACCACCTAGGTCTGTCCATCGATCTGAGGATGACACGTAGTCGAGAATGAGAGCTTTGTTCCCAGCTTAGCCCAAAGCGTTCGCCAAAAATGTCCTAAGAACTTCGTGTCTCGATCTGAAACGATGACCTGTGGCATTCCATGCAATCTTACTACTTCCCTGAAAAACAAGTTAGCTACATTCACAGCATCATCTGTCTTGTGGCTAGCGATGAAGTGGGCCATCTTGCTAAACCTGTCAACAACTACAAAAATAGAATCTCTACCATTTCTGGTTCGAGATAAGCCAACTACAAAATCCATAGAGATATTAGTCCAAGGTTGAGAAGGAATAGGCAAAGGAGTATACAAACCGTGAGGTTGAACTTTACTCTTAGCCATCTTACATACGACACATCTAGAACAGATTTTCTCAACGTCTTTCCTCATTTTCGGCCAGTAGAAGTGCTCTTGTAGCCCAAGAAGTGTCTTTGTGACGCCAAAATGTCCAGCTAATCCACCTCCATGAGCTTCTCGTACCAGTAACTCTCGAATGGATCCTCGTGGTATGCACAATCGGTTACTGAAGAACAAGTATCCATCCTGTCTATAAAAATTTTCACAGGCGAACTTATGACATTTGGCATAGCTCTCATAAAAGTCAGTATCATATTCATAAAGATCTATAATGTGCTCAAATCCAATCAAATTTGATGTTAAAGTCAAAATAAGAGTATACCTCCGGGATAATGCGTCTGCGACCACATTATCTTTACCTTTTTTGTACTTAACAATGTAGGGGAATGTCTCAATGAACTCCATCCATCGCCCATGTCTTTTGTTAAGCTTCTGCTGACCCTTGAGGTGCTTTAGAGACTCGTGATCGGTATGAATGACGAATTCCTTAGGCCATAGGTAATGCTGCCACGTCTGGAGAGCTCGAACCAATGCGTATAACTCCTTGTCATACGTGGGATAATTCAGCGTTGATCCTCCTAACTTTTTGCTGAAGTAAGCGACGGGCTTCTTATCCTGCATAAGAACTGCTCCAATACCTACACCAGAAGCATCGCATTCAATCTCAAAAGTCTTAGTAAAATCAGGAAGTACTAGTAAGGGCGAATTGATAAGCTTCTCTTTAAGGGCTGTAAAAGCCTGTTCTTGCGCCTCTCCCCACTTGAACCCCACGTCTTTCTTGATTACTTCTGTTAAGGGCGCGGCTATGGTGCTGAAATCACGAACAAAACGCCTGTAGAATCCTGCTAAGCCATGGAAACTTCGGACTTCTCCAATATTCTTGGGGGTTGGCCACTCCTTGATAGCTTTTATCTTCTCTTCATCTAGTTTAACTCCTCCTGCACTTACTACAAAGCCTAAGAAAAAAATTTCGTTAGTGCAGAATGAACATTTAGATAAATTAGCAAAGAGAGATTGAGAGTGAAGAACATCAAGAACCGATCTGATGTGATCTAGATGTTCTTCCAAACCTTTACTGTAGATGAGGATATCGTCGAAATAAACCACTACGAACACGCCAATGAATGGTCTCAGGGCTGGTTCATTAATCTCATGAAGGTGTTGGGCGCATTGGTGAGGCCAAACGGCATAACTAGCCACTCGTAGAGTCCTTGATTTGTCTTGCATGCCGTCTTCCATTCGTCCCCTTCCTTCATTCTGATCTGATGATACCCACTCTTCAAATCTATCTTCGAGAAGATTGTCGATCCACAGAGCTCATCCAGCATATCATCTAGTCTTGGAATCGGATGCCGATACTTCACAGTGATGTTGTTGATAGCTCGGCAGTCTACACACATCCTCTAGGAACCATCTTTCTTTGGCACCAACAGAACTGGAACCGCACATGGACTCAAGCTTTCTCGGATATGTCCCTTGCTCATCAGCTCTTCTTGCTTCTGCAGCTCCTTAGTCTCTACAGGATTGGTTCGGTATGCTGGCCTGTTAGGTAAGGCTGATCCTGGTACCAAGTCAATCTGATGCTCTATCCCGCGAATTGGAGGTAGCCCTGGTGGAATTTCTACTGGAAAAACGTCCTTGTATTCCTGCAAAATCTCAAACATAGCACTAGGAAGCTTCTGTGAAGGGTTAGTACTAACAAGGGATTCCTTGTACACAAACATAAAAATAGTCATTTCAGGATCAAAGAGTTTAGAAAATTCACTGTGGTTTATGTAGAGGCTGTTGGCGACTTTCTCCTTCTCCTTGAGCTTCATCTGAATCTGATCTTGGTAAATCTCGGTAGGCGTGAGAGGTAGGAGGGTAATTTTGCGACCTTTGAACTCGAATGAGTGCTTGTTGGTATAACCGTCGTGTATCACCCTACGATCTGAATGCCACGGCCTGTCTAGCAACACATGACTCGAACCCATGGGAATGACGTCACATAGAATCTCATCTTCATACTTCCCAATAGATAGAGAAACCATAACTTGCTGAGATACGGTCAAGGCTCCACTGTCATTCAACCACTGAAGCTTATACGGTCTTGGATGAGGAATAGTCTTGAGCTGGAGCTTCTTAACCATCTCTTTACTTGCAGCATTAGTACAACTTCCTCCATCTATGATCAGGCTACAAACTTTCTCTTTAATGAGGCATCTCGTATGAAACAGGTTCTCTCGCTGACAAGTCTCTTCGGGTTGATTCTGAACACTCAAAGTCCTTCTGGCAACCAGCATCTCGCCCACAGCAGCAGCTTCTTCCTCTTCTTCTAGTTCATATTCGGCCTCTGAATCCTCTTGAGGAACTATCTCTCCTCCCTTATGTAACAAGAATACCTTCTTCTTTGGGCAATCTCGAGAATAATGTCCCATTCCTTGACATTTGAAACACCTCACATTACTGATAGAAGTACCACTTCTAGGTTTGAACTCAGCTTTAGCTTCTTC